TGGGCTTCATGCTACACGCCTGAGATCTCTGGGGGTACGTGGCTTACTGGCCCACCTTGCTCGAAGGTGGTTTCCGCGTAAAGCAATAGAGCTCATTCGGTTGCCTCCAAAGAAGGTGGGGCGAGAGTCAGCTCCGTCAATAGGGCGACATGATCCCGAAGGATTCAGAGACAATAGGCCACTCATGATGAGGGTCGGTCACCACATCATGGAGGTCACCAACTACGCTTCAACTAGGTCGGAGGAGATAGGTTGCCCCTCATGTTGAAGTCCCTAACACAATCCTGCAATGGCCAACCTAGTCCTGTTATGGGCGACCTAGTCCAGTGATGGCCAACTTAGTCCTGGCATAGTCGACCCAGTCCAACGATAGGTGACTTGGTCTTGTGATGGGCAAGCTGGTCTTGCAATAGGCGACCCGGTCTTGTGATGGCTGACCTGGTCATGCGATAAGCGACTTGCTCCTGCGATGGCCAACCTGGTCCTAAGATAGTCGACCTGGACCTATGATGGCCGACCTAGCCCTGCGATAGGTGACCTGGTCCTGTGATAGGCGACCTAGTCCTGCGATGAGCGATTTGGTCTTGTGATGGCCAACCAAGTCCTGTGATGGCCGACCTGGTCCTGCAATGGGTGACACGGTCCTAAAATGGTTGACCTGGTCTTGCAATGGCTGATCTGGTCCTGCAATGGACGACCTAGTCTTGAGATGGCCGACTTGGTCTTATGATGGCTAACCTAGTCCTACAATCGGCGACCTAATCCTGAGATGGCCGACCTGGTCCTAAGATTGCTAACATAGTCTTGGGCCAAGGTGTTGAACAACGGTTCAGGGTCACCACGTGGTGCAATGTCAATAGAGGGCCAAATCGCCCCTCATTAGGTCCCACTTTATAGGGCTAGAGTTAGGGAGTGGTAGAGGAGAGCCATTGCCCCCATGCCTTACGAATACCCACAATCCCATTTATATATTTTGACCCATCCATGTTTATTAACTTTTAGCTCCCCTAATCCATCTTTATTAGCTTTTGCCCCTCCAAGAACAAATCCTGGCTCYACCCCTACCACTTTATGACCTCGGCTTCCAAAGGCAAAAACTGGGATTTGAGGCCAAAAGGGGCTATTTGTAAAAGTAGTGGGGTAAGGTTATGGCCCCCAAGACAAATAGGCCTGTAAAAGATATTCGAAAATCCGAATTCAAATCTGAGATTTAGTCTAGATTCGGGTCAGGCCGTATGGATATTGGTTGAATGGATGGTCTAGATTGGGCAAAGCACGTAGAGGCCGAATCATCCCGCCTAAAACCGTTTTGGATTCAGGTCGACTCGGGTCGACTCGTATTGGGTCAGGTCGGAGTGTGTAAATATTGGTTGGACCGGACGACCCAAATCGAACAGAGCAAGCAGCACCGAACCATCCCGCCCGGGGTCTATTTCGGATTCGGGTTGACCCGGATCAGTATAAGTTGGATTGGGTCAAACCATGTTGAACTGGTCCAGACTCGAGTCAAATTGATTTGAATTTATGTTGGGTGAAGTGTATTGATTCAAGACAAAACTAAATTTAGTCAATTATTAGTAGAAAATTAATGCATTAATTATAAATTATTTAATTCAAATGAAGAAAATTAAAAAAAAAGGCTAAGGAATTAATACTTTTGTCTATAATGGTTAACCCAATGGTTATCCACAACCCAACCCATTTAAATGGGTGGGTTGGGTGATGGGTTGATCACACAACCCACCAAGTAAATGGGTGGGTTCAACAGGTTGGGTTAAAAATTGCCACCCCTACTGGCAGGATCAAAGTAGCACTAACATGTCTCACGGGAAGAATCCTTGTCAACACAGGCCATGGAATGTAGATGGTCAAATCTTTTTCTGCTAAAATGGTTGTTTTAAGCATGGTTTCCGAACTGCCATTGGCCCGGATGGTTGGACTGTTCGGACAGGGAACCATCCAGGCAACCAGTTCAATTTTACACCAAACCTAGTCCCTGGCCAAAAATTGTTGAATCGGTCAATGACCCATTGATCTAAGTGGTCAAACTGTCGACCCATTGACCCGTTCAATAGCATTTGGCAGTTTTTTGTTTTTAATTTTTTAAATTTTCTTTTATTGTTAGAACGGGTTGTCCATTCGAACCGGACGGTCGAACTATCGACCTGGAAACTGGTGGCTAGAATGATTCCATTTTCGGGTCATTTTTTAAAACCATGGTTTTAAGGCACCATTTTTTAAGATTTTCATAGGTAAAAGTTAATCAATAAGATTGTGGTTCCCATTGACCAATAACTTATCCATGTTTTTATTTCATAAACATGTGGAATCTACAGTAAAATTAATTTTCCTATATATCACTTATTTAGGTAAGTGATACTCTTTTCAGACTTGGTTAAATTGATTCTCCCAAGTGGAGGATAAATGAAAAAAAATAAAATGATTAAAAATACCCCCATAAAATACGTTTATTTTGGGTAAACTAAATAAAAAAGAACATGGATAAGTGTACTTACTTAAAAAACAGGTTCTTTTGAAAAACCAACAACTCCAAAGTATATTTAACCAAAAAAAAATAAAACATGAAGGTAAGTCCTGATATTTATATTTAACCAAAAAAAAAGGTTAGATCAATTATGTGAATATGAAGGCATTTGTTCAATGTATTTTTTGGATAAATTTCTTAAACTACCCTTATGGTTTAGCTAATTGGCTAAGTGTACCCTTACTGTTTAAAAATTGACYAACGCTACCCCTACTGTTTCAGGTTAACTTATGCTGTTGGGGCCCAACAGCATTGGTTGTTGGGACAGTTTCTGGGCTAGGCACATTTTGTGCAGTTCACCTATTCACGCCTATGCTTTGGTATTTTGTCAAAATAAATTGAGATGTAATTACTACCTTACCCATTCTCATGGTAACGTGGAATTTCCAAAAACTGTCTCAACAGCCTATGCTATTCGCCCCCAACAGCTAAAGTTTTTCCTACTATTTCTGACAATTGACTAATACTTCTCTTATCTTAACGTTCGGTCATAAACCATTTAAATGTATATCATGTGATTGTTATAACTTCCAAAAATATCCAACTTACCCTTATTATAACTTCATATCTCATTGTCCCCTCTGGCAGAGACTTGATGCACCAGCATTGGCACTGGCATCTCCGGCACTAGCTCTTAATTGCCTGCGACCTAGCAAACAATTCCAGCAATTAAGTGATTAAACCGTCGGAAACAATCGCAAAAGAACTGATTTAGGGCGACTTTCGACAGAGAAAGGTGTCTAGAAAAAAGAGTTTAAACAGTGTCTCTTTCCCCTTAACCTCAAGTTAGTTGTGCTGAGATGACATAGTAGCAATCACACACACTCTCTCGCCTGTTCTCTCTTCTCCTATCTCTCTCGCTCGTTCTCTCTCTCTAGAATGGAAAAGAAATAGCAGCAACAGATGTGTGGAGGATAAGTTCCTTTCCATGGACCTTGCCCGTTCCCGGGTTTTTCTGGATGGTAGGTTCAGTTAATCTAGTGATAGTAGATTTAATCTCAACAGAAGTGGGACCGACGCGTAGTGTTGGAGGTGGTGGTGGTGGCAGCGTGTGGATGGCAGTTTGGGTAGTATCAGCAGCAGCCACGGAGGGGATGTTGAAAGCGAACATGGGGCGCAGAGTTTGAATGGCTGGACTTGGGACGTGGGCTTTACCTTGCAGATGCATCCGGACCTTGATGAGGTCAAGTGGGTGGGTGGAACAGCCGGCAACAATCAAGGCGATGCCTCCTTCAATGAAACTTTAAGACCCATCTCGGTCCCTGATTCACAATCATCAGCAGGGAAAGGAATATGCGCTATAGGATGCAGAGATGAGCTATGTGTTTCGCCGCCGGAACTGTTCGGAGACAATCTCCACTATCCTGTCTTTGCATTTTCTGTTTTTTTTTTTTTTATTAAATATCTTGCTTTCAAAACCGCTTTTAGGTTCGTTCAGTTGGTAACTGAAGATTTTTGTATATATGGAAGGTGGTGGATTCAAATTGTCACATCTGAATTGTTGGGGCTGTTGAAGATGGGTAGCAAACTGCAGATTGTCCCCTTTTTATGTTTTATTTTGAAAATTTGAAGAAGAATATAAGGTAAAATAGTTTTTTTTTTTTATCTTTCCGTTAACAAACAGTAAAATATTAATCAATTGTCAGAAATAATAGTAGGGATAAGCTTAGTCAGTAAAGTTACACTTTGTCAAATATCTAAACCATAAACCATAAGGGTAGTTTAAGAATTTTACCCTTATTTTTTTGCTTTGCAGACATCGAACTTCGTAGCAACAAAACGAAATATGTTCTTCGTATTGTGCCTTGTGCATTTGTTCAATGGATCTGAGTGAGGAGACATAGGTTTGAACTCGTGAAAAAGTATGTTCTTCGCATTGTGCATGCCAGTAGATCCTCTCCTTGGAAAGAAAATTACTGTAGGGATATTTTACAACATGATTCAGCCTTCATTCATTCATTGAGCTTTTGAATAGAGAAAGGAAAAAATATCAACTAGGAGGATTCATTTTCACCAGTCCAAATGTGCTTTACCATCTGTCATGTTTTAGTTTTTGGCTCTTCGTATTTTCTTCAATGTTTTAAACTTCGATCCAGAGACCTATCGAACTGTTTTTTTTTTTTTTTCAATCACCAGTTCGACCGTCTGGATTAACGGCGTATGGAGTGGACTATGGACCATACCATCTCAAATCATACATCAATCCTCTACCATCTTTCGTCTCTTATAAGTTCCAGATTATATTATGCATAAAAAAATTAATTAATAATTAAGGGAAAAGTGAAACAAAAAGAAAAAAAAAAAGAGAAACAGTTGGCCGGAGCTGCAATACTACATCAACCACTTAAGCGAGGACTCTCAATAAATAAACGAATTAGAAAAATAAATAAATGAGAATCAGAAGGTAAGGAAGATGGAGATGAAGCAATTTTTTTTTTAACTACAGAATCAGAATATCAATGAATTACATGTTAGATATATGCAAACTAACCCAAGTCAGGAATATAAATTGATTAAACCCATATCTGATATCCCTCCCAAAAAGAAATTCAACATTCTTTTGTTTATTTATAGTTCATCATCATCAGATCTAGAATGTACAGAAACCCCACATCTAGAAGACCCAGCAAGGCTTTCCAACCACACCTCGTCACCGACGGTTGAGTCAGTATCGTCATTCCGGTGCCATGACCAGTGAGCATGCGTTCGGTTATACACCGTTAGCCGGCCATGTCCGAAGCTCGCCTCTCGGAACAGAGATAAAGGAGAGTTGGGTTTCTTAAACCTTCAATCGCATGAGATAACAGATATTCAATCAAATTAACAACTAATAACTAAATGATTGTCAGACGTTGATTTCATTTAATATAATATATATATATATAAGTATAACTTCAGAAGGTTGAAGTACTCACGTTAAAGCAAGCCCTTCTCTGTTTCCGCCATCACCAATCGTTACGTGCACTGGACCGCATTGCTCGGCCTTGTTATTGTAAACCCTAGTCTGCATGAACCAGAAAATATTTCTATATATATATATATATAATCGAAGGAATAAACCAGTCGAATACTCGGATCCAAAAGGAATAAAATGACTTACAAAGCGTTCGTAGGCATGAACGTGTCCAGCCAAAACAGTGTCAACTCGGGCCTGGTACAGCAACTCCTCCATGGCTTTCCTCATGTTCTCTCCTTCACCCTGATGGGCTATGTTGGTGTTATACCATGGCGCGTGAAGGCAGACCACGATCCATGGCGTGACACTCCTGTCGACCTTGGCCAAGTCGGACTGCAGCCACTTGTACTGCTCCGAGCCAGCGTCGAAGTCGGTGTAAGACCCCAGCATGACAACATGGACGCCGGCAACGTCGAACGAGTAGTAGAGATTGGACTTGGAGCCGCTCTCCTCGAACGGCATCCTCCACCTTGTGTTGTAGGCGGTGAAGGCCTGGGAATGGATGATCGGGACGACTTCAATCTCATGGTTTCCCTCTGTCACCATCCACGGCCGGCTGCTGGCATAGGGCTCCACGAAGCGTCCGAAGGTGTCCCAGAGCGGCTGTTGGGTGTCTGCGTAAGATAGATCCCCCGGGAGCAGCAGCACGTCGTAGTTCCTGCTGCCGATGTGCGCTAGTGTCGATTCCGTCCACTCGGTCTGTCCCAGGTCGCCTGTTGATAATCAGATTTTGCTTTTTTAGTATGAGCAATTGGGTGTCATATATAGAAGCTAGATCAAAGGTTTATTATATGTGCATGCGCTAAAATATTTCACGTAAGAGACAAACCTGCAACTACAAATTCAATGGGGAACGTTGTGGGAGGAGTTTTCAAAGTGAATTCTTCGCCGGTCCCACTACACCGGTAGTAGTAGTTTGTGTCGGGATCCAAAGGTCCGATGGTAGCCTGGTGGATCTTGCCGGAGAGGTAAAAGAAGTAATGGTAGGAAGTGTGATCACCGGTGACGGATGCATCATATTTCCCCGGAGTTTTACCATATTCTACAATCGACGGTGCATGCTTCTGGGTAATCCATGAAATTCTCATATGATCTCTTCCAACCAATGAAATATGTACCTGGAATTATTAAAATTAAACGTTAATGGGTATGCAGAAATTTATAGTACTAAAATAACAGCTGGAAATTAATCTTCAGGAACAGAAATGGATTACTGGATCTGCTAAATAATCCACACGTTTGAGAGACAGTCACAGAGAGAGAGAGAGAGAGACCTGTTGAGGTTCGGAATCAGAGCGATTGTGTGGAGTGAAGATAATACTTCGAGGAGGAGGGCGAGTATACATGGACGACGATGCCTGCAATTGAATGAATTGAAGGAAGAAGAAGATGAGTAGCGAAGAAAACACATACGACCATGCTTTCTCCATGTCTAAAGCTCTGTTGGATGCAGGAGAGGAAGAAGAAGAAGAAGGGCGTGTGAAGTATAAGTATATAATGCGTAAAAGCGAAGCCTATATATAAAGAGAGAAGGGTTTGAAACTTTTATTAGAAGAAATAAAAATATACACAAAAGAATTCCATGGCGTTAAGGAAGTCTTTCCGGCATAGTTTTGGAAACGCTTACAGCAATCTCACACAGAACGCTATATCCACCGTCAAGCTAATTAGCTAGGTCAGCGTTGGTTCATCTTAGCCTGATGAATTTTATTTTATTTTTGTGGTAGATAAATCTTATCCTCATGACTTGGTYCTTATGAAATCACTACATTAATGAGGTTAAGGAAATTTTTTGATATAGTTCTTATCGAAACCTTGTGCAATGAAATCAATCAATTAAGTTTTTCTATATATGTTTCTTTGAACAGAGCAAGCTAGTTTTTTTTTTTTTTTTTTAATATCTATAATGGCATTTGCTTCCATAAGCTCATCATCTAACATGAAACGTTACCTATTWGTTGACATTCGATCTAATTATCTCATATTTGGATGTTAGAATTTGCATTAGATCAGATGTAATGTATCTAATATATTGGTTTGTAATTAATAAATTTAATATTTTATATTTAGAAAAATCTATGACATGCACCAAAAAGTTTTCCAGTATCATAGTATCATAGTGGATAGATGTATAGAAATTAAAAGTAATTAATTTTTTCAACTTTTTTGTCACTTTAATTTCAATTACATCCCTAAATGAGATCCAATTGGATTACATCCCTAAACTAGTGAATGTCCCTTATATGTCTACGGGTCCACATAAATTGACCCTTATATGTCAAACCCGTAAAATTATACGGGTCACTATATTCAACTTGAACCATTTATTACTTTAATTTAATCATTATTATTATTATTAATTTATTTTAATATTTAATTTAAAATTTTTGTTATATAGTAATAATATTAACTAAATTTGTAATATTTAAATATTTACTTAAAATATTTTTTTCAACCGACTATAATTATTATATAATAGATTTGTTAATTCATATTTTGAATTTAAGAATAAACATTAATGATTTGGCTTAACAATTTTAATGATTGTTAATAAATATTGATTCTTATTTAAGGTTTAATTACTGTATTTGGTAATTATTATGGGGCATGCTTTGAATAAACATTAATGATAATTGATGA